ACTGAATTAACGAGTTATGATACAATGAAAACTTAATAAGAACGACTATGTACATTTCTGTATACATTAAGTACAAGTTATATACACTACACGGAACATACATCACATTTGTTAAAAATACTTAAAAGTTAAAAAGTCTTTGGTGCGCTTTGTTCTACTGGTAGTAACATTTCTGTAAAGATACAACTGGTCTGATTTGTGCCTGAGGTTATAGGGACAGGTATCGTCTAAGTGTGTTGGTAGAAGAAGGTGGAGAGGGTGGTTTAAGTCCTTCATTTTGCACATATACTCTCTACATATCTTATCTCTTCTATATGCAAGGGTCTCCACCCATGCTAACTTGAGGGCTTCTGAGTGACTATATAGTTATTTTCAATAAAGAACACAAGAATTTAGTTGAGGTAGGTGGATATATTATATCAAACACTTTTAATGATTACTTCTGTTGGCGAAAAACTTGCGTCGCATGTACCACCTTCTTGTAGTTTTACTGAGTACTTGTCACCCAATAATAATCCTAATTCCTTCTTTTTCGAAGCAGTCTCTCCAGTAGATATTGAATGAGAAATACTGTCTATTCCTCGAAACAAAACCTGCCATCTTTACTCTTGTCCAATCCATATTTTATCTGGTGCTAAACATATTATCTCTGGCCCTCTATCTAATATTTTTAATATCTCTGTGCAAGAAGGTGTCTATCCATCCAAATTAAAGCAAGCGAAAGTTATTCCTGTCTACAAAAGTGAGGATGTAACTGAACCCAGGAATTATCAGCCTATTTGGCTATTATCTATTTTTAATAGAATATTTGAAAAACTGATGTACCATCAACTTTAAACCTTTCTTGACGAAAACGATATCTTGTTTAAATCCCAGTATGGCTTTCGTGAAAAGCATTCGACTTGACACGCTGTTATTGACATTGTTAATATCATACAAAATAATATGGACTTAACATAATTTACTTGTGGCATCTTCTTAGATCTAAAAGAAGCCTTTGATAGCATTAACCATTCAATCTTACTAAAAAAAAACGTGATCATTATGCTATCAGGGGCATCATTAATGACTGGTTTTCCTCGTACCTTCTTGGTTGTACACAAGTGACTGAATTAGATTCTAATCCATCCAACATGTGGTGTCCCTCAAGGCTCTGTTCTTGGCCCTTTGTTATTCTTAATTTATATTAATGATTTTCATCACTCTTGTTTGAAATTTTCGTTTTATCTTTTTGCAGATGACACAAAAATCTCAAGACCCTTGAAGAAACGGTCAATAGCGCATTGGTCACAGTTTCTGATTGGCTCAATGCAAATAAGCTAACTTTTAATGCTAATAAATCTAACTTTGTCATTTTTCATCCTTATCAACGAAAACGGGACCTTACAGTCAATATTCAAATGTTTGACAATAGTAATCATTCTTTTACCTCTCTTGAATGTAAGGATCATAAAATATCTAGGTGTCTTATTGGATAGTCATTTGAGTTGGAAATTTCACATTGACAATGTGGCACTAAAAATAAGTAGAATAATTGGAATTATTGCCCACCTTCGGCATCTCGTACCTTTAACCACTCTATTAACAATTTATCGCTCTTTGATCCTCCCTTACCTATCCTATCAATCAATCAATAAACTTTATTTAACCCAAGGAGTTATCTAACATGAGGCCCTCATCCTATGGCATGGCTGTTTGGGGCCAAGCTGCTAAATCCCATTTACAAAAAATCCTCGTCCTACAAAAACGTGTTTTTCAGCTGATATATTTTTCTGAACCCAGAGCACACTCCTCAAGAATCCTGCTCATAAATATGTTATACGTTGAATCAGTTTCCTCAATTATGTTTGACGTCTCATGTCTAACTGTTCCTACCAACATTAGCAATCTTTTCATTAAAGCTACTGAAAAAACATAATCATGATACGAGGTTCTCTTCTTCCGGCAATTTTTATATTAATCCAGCGAGATTGAATCAAAGCCAAGGCTCTTTTGCTAGCTTCGGAGCTAAACTTTGGAACTCCATTTGCGATGCTCTTTGTCAACTCCTGAAGAGAGCTTCGAAAAACTCTTTAAGGACATGTTATTTTTGTTCTTAGAGGCTGAGGATTACTATGTTGAATCGCCCCTTCTACTTCAAAAAATTACTAATTGTAAACTGGCTTTATAATTTACATTCTACATTCTATAGTGTTTCTATTTTCTTTTGTTTAGTGATGCAGTTATATATACGAGTTTTAAGTGGCTGTCTTTTTCTGGAAATGTTATTAATTTATGTTTGAGCTTTATTTGTAATCTATCACTACTGCTGTACCTCGACTTAGTAACCTTGCACGCAAGACGTGTGGCTCTGTGTAGCAAGCTTTTCGAGTCTATCGCGTCATGCCCGGATCACAAACTCGTGCCTGTCTTACCTCCTAAGAGAGAACACAGATATAATCTAAGACAGTCCAGGGCTTATGCCATGCCCTGTACACATACAAATTGTTTTAAGAACACTTATATTCCAAGTATGTGTACATAAATTTTTTTCTTTTTTAGACTAGTTTGTACATAGTCATATATAGAGAGTTTTTCGCATTTATGGTTTTATTATAATTTCAATTTGTATTTGGAATTCATTTATTCCTAGTTCTAAGTAATTGAAATAGAATAAATATATGAAAATCATATATTTTGAACTGCGGTATTTGATACATATGAGGCACGATCCTCGCAGTAGATAGCGCTATTTAAGCAATAGCGAAAATCAGACCTGAAAAAAATCAGGCCTGTACGGGATCGTGCCTCATACGTATCAAATACCGCAGTTCAAAATATATGATTTTCATATATTTATTCTATCTCATTTATCACTTTCACGGGTTCATTACGAATCAACTTAACGGCCTGCTCTCAGTTGGCTTGTTAGCTCAATTGGTAGAGCGCTGCACTAGTATCGCAGAGGTCAGTGGTTCGAGTCCCGTACAGGCCTGATTTTTTTCAGGTCTGATTTTCGCTATTGCTTAAATAGCGCTATCTACTGCGAGGATTGTGCCTCATAAGTTCTAAGTAATTGTAACGCAATTCAGTCTACGGATTGCCATGTTCGATATTCTAATAAACTATCTATCTACCTCTAATTCCCGCCTGCCTCCTGCTATTTGCTGGCATGAATGGTCTTCATGAACATGAAAGTTTGCTTGACAACCGATTAATGTTGATATCTTGTAAAACGTGTAGATTAGATTAATAATTAGATTAATAATGATAATTAAGTAGATGTCAGTACAACTTAGGAAGTTTAAAGGTCTAATAAAGGTGTGATATGGGGTTGTAAATAAAAGAATTTAGGGAAAAAAGATACTGTAGGTGCCTAACAAGATCAGAACACAAGCAAGATTTTAATGAATCATAGTACTCTGTAGTAACATTACTTTAATATTGCTAATAATTGTTAACCCACTAAGGTTTACAATTGATATAGAGGTTTTATTTAACTGAAAGTTTGATAGAGATAGTGTGTCACCATAATAGATTTCAGGAACAGTAATCAGAGATATCACTTAAACACAACAGAGTTCAATGTACAGGCAAGTGCATGATGGTATCATATGATTTAAAGTACCAGAATCTTTCAAGTTTTCATATTATAGTTATTTCATGCCAATGTGTTTCCCAAATTCAAGCTATGTGGAGACATGAAATGAATAGGTGAACTTGACATCATCATAAAAAGGGTCAATTTGACATGCTATCAAAATTTGTCCTTCAGTTGAAATCTTACTCAGGTATGCAATTTTGTTAGTGTTTATCAACGTACATAAAAATATTCAAGCTTTTGTTTAGTTTGGTCAGCTACTATGTGTATCAATCAGCACAACCTGCTTTGTGTAAATCTAATTGGTTTTTAGTGTGATTTATTGTTGCTGAGCCTACATTTTGTACTTGAATTATTACTTTAATTTGCATAATTTTAATGATACTTGAAAAAGGCACCTAGCTGTTTTCAGCCAATCAAGAGTGTAATTTTTCATGTATATCGGTATTGTGATGAATTAACCAAAACCAAACATGTGTATTGCGACCAAGTTTAAATATCAATGCTTATCTTAACCATTATGAGAAGAAATTAGAAGACTGCTCAGCTTACAAGAAGTCATGAAATGTTAAGGTCTGAATGATTCTGAGTATTACTTGGAAAACATAATACTAATCAAATTTTAGTTGTAACATTAAACTACTAGGCTCCTATAAGCAATGGAATGTAGGCTTTGTAGAAAATCATTTGTGAAAACCAAAACATCACATTACTCCACTGGCATGTAAAATACATTTCAATAGAACATCATAAGCATCAAACTCAAAAAATGATCCTTAAAACGTGATAAGTTATCCTTTGTTTTCACAAAATTGTCATGAGAACCAATCCTAGATCAGTATTGTTCAATCGAGATTCCCATACTTTACCTGACTTTTGAAACTGACCTTTTGTCAGTTGTTATCACGCATATGGTTTAGTTTTAGGCTACCATGTTTAAAGTTGACATGTCAAAAGTTGCTTTAGCTTTTGATTTTCTGTACCGTCATTTGTAATATTACCCTCTTGTACAACCTTATTGTGGAAATTTGTTTTTAGTTTATTGTGTATTACAAACTCCTTTTGTTTGTAATCCACATGACAATAGCCTATGGGTAAAAAAAAATTACCTAATTTTAAATACAGATTGATTAACTCTGAAAAGAAAAACCATAGTCAGTACACCATTAATAAATGGAAACCAATTGTGGGCCTAAATGATTTAGAAGTGACCAATGGAAATCAATTAATAAAAATCAGCCCCTCAAGATAATGTTTTAATGAAAGCAAGCTTTTGAATCATAGTATAAGGAAAATTCAAAAGTTTGAGTTACTGGATAGAAGCAGTATGTTAAAGTAGGAAAACAACCATGTATGTTGTAGCTTGCTGAATGGCCATGTACCTGTACATGTACTGGTAATTATAGAAATGGAAAACAGCAATTGACGAAGAGGAAAAATGCTTTAAGAATTGTAGTCCTTGCCATTCTGAAATGCATTTTTTGTTATTATGCTCTTCAGGTTGTAGAGGAAATGAAAGGAAACATACCATCGACAGCATCTGAACTACTGAAGCAGCTACCTGGTGTTGGTAGATACACTGCAGGTGCCATTGCTTCCATTTCGTTTGGTGAGTGCACTGGAATAGTTGATGGGAATGTGATACGAGTTTTATCAAGGCTTTGTGGTATTGGTGCTGTAAGTTCCAGTACTCAAGCTGAGCACAAATTTTGGGAGCTTGCTCATAAACTTGTTCCTGAAGACAGACCGGGAGAGTTTAATCAGGCTTTAATGGAATTTGGAGCCACATTATGTATGCCTCAGGCTCCTCAGTGTCATGTATGCCCTCTGCAAAAGGATTGTAGTGCTTTGAAGCAAGTAGTAAAACAAGATACTCCAGTATCTATTCTGCACAGAGGAAAAGGAGGAGAATCCAGCAATATTGTAAAAGGTGATAAACATGTTGACATTGAAGAATGTACCCTTTGCCTACCATCTTCACTGTGGAAGCCCTCCCTTGGTGTTTGTAATTACCCACAGAAACCTAAACGGAAACAACCAAAAGAGGAGACTTTGGCTGTTGTTGTACTTAAATGTAATTTAGAGGGGGGATCTCACTTTCTCTTAACTCAGAGACCTGAAACAGGACTTTTAGCAGGCCTTTGGGATTTCCCTAATGTTGCTGTAGAATCAAATAAATCCGATGCTTACATGTTTACTTCACTGTGCAATTTCTTGGAACACAAACTGGGTATCACTCTGGAACAGAGGACTCCACAAAGAATAGCAGACGTTTCTCATAAATTCTCACATGTTCATCACAAGTACATCGTGTTTGTATACGAGCACCCTGAAATCAAGAATTTGCCTCAAACCTCTCAAGAAAAAAGCAAAATAAGGTGGATAACAAGAGATGACCTAGATACTGCAGCTCTTTCTACAGCTATGAGGAAAATTTTCACTGCCTTTGAAAATCATAATAGTAATGAGTATGAAAAACAAGCCAAAGTGGACAGGAAAAGAAAGAGGGAAAATTCTTATGATGGGAGAAAACAGATGGTGCTGGACAGATTTTTCAAGTCAAAGGACCAACAAGAGTATGAAGTTGTTGGGTTGTGAGGCATTTTTACCTGTCAGGAGTGTATGTTTGCTCCAGACTCAGTTTACATTTGTGTAGTTCCTTCCATAGAAACACAGTAAATGTCGCACATACATCGTAGTGAAGGTGCGCGTAGGCTTATAATAAATGACTGTTGCTAAGGTAGCTTGAGGAGGCATGTATTTTTTAAGGGGCCCAGTTGGTTAGAAGATTTCACCATTCATAAAAGTTCTGAAGTTTAGAACCCCCCAATGAATACTCTCAACTCCTTATAACTTGAACCCACGCTAAGTCGTACCTTGTGCCAAAAAAAGGAGACAAACAAACAGGTTGGAGGGTGGTATAAACAGTTGGTTGGAGGTCAGAATTGCACTAGAGTGTGAAGGAACTCAAACGTGCTCTTGTTCTTTTCACAAAAGTGCCAAGAAAAACGTTGGGATGTTGAACTTGCAAGAGTTATTTTTTGGCATGGGTTGGTTAAGTCAGGACTGTGGCTGATTTTCATTTTTGTAAAAGAAAAAAATAGGCACTGAGAGGTGCATATGCCTACTGCTTAAACTTAGAATAGAAATAGTGATATATGTGGTGTAGTGCTTAGTTAATGAGTTGTCATAGATATTTCAAGTTATGAAAATATTTGCAATGTGAGCCTCATTTGAATAACCCATGCTTGATGCCGGTCAATTCTAACATGGCATCTAAACTTTTAAGAAAATTTTCTATATTTGGTTTTGTTTTCATTTACCTCGAGACAAACAATTAAGCAAAAGATTTATTTTGCCTCAAAGTCATGCTAGAATCTTGATTCATCAAATTTGGGCTACCTTTAACCAATTGCTTGAGACTGTAGGGGATTTGAATAATTATTACTGTACATGCAGGTGTTTCTGATGTAATGATAACAAAAGCGCTGGGCACCAAATTTGTGTAAAACTGTCATTTAGTACAGTTGCTTTAATCACTCTAATGAACTGATACACTCTGATGAAAGTGATTACAGGGTTCGTACAGGTCATGGAATTTCAAAATTTCATTTTCCAGGCCTGGAAAGTCATGAAATTTAGGTATGGGTCATGGAAAGTCATGGAATATCAATATGCTCTCTATGAGTGAAAGGCAACTAGACCCAAGGTTGAAAAGTTAACTGACGAGTTCAAAAATCAGATTTTATTTCATTAGAAATAAACAGAAGCACGCATTGTGAGAATATTTGCAAACATAAATTGTTTGTTTGTATTTTTTAACATTACTGTCTGAGAACAATACCATTTAGTTATTGTTTACCTTAGGTCATGGAATCTTTAAAAAGGTCATGGAAAAAGTCATGGAAAGTCATGGAATTTTAACAGGTCAAAAGTGTACGAACCCTGGTGAAGGAACGTGACAATTGGAAGGATAACTTTGAGGGGTTCTTCTTTTCACCGTAATCTGTGAAAATATGTTTCCTTGGTGAGAATCAACTGCTTGAGATGAGTCTACTTTAAAATTGTCATTCAAAATAATTTCCATTATACACGGGAGAAACAGTTTCATGTATACAGTCATTGTTTATACGTGTAGAAGAAGTCGAGGGGCCATTTGATTTAGTTTTGTAACAACAGGCATTTATACTGTTTTCAAGCTTAGTCCTTATCTTTATCTGAGTGCTAACGCAAAAGGTTTTGATTCGCCTGTCTTAAAATGAACGCTATATGGAAACTAAACTTAAGTTCCTCGCTCTTATATACAAGGATGGCTAGGAAAAGTAAAGATTTGAGCGGATTTAAAAAAGGTTCTTTTCAGCAAACGTACTACATGTATTCAAAGTTAAATGCGTCTTGATGCGTAGGAGTGCAATATATGCAAATTGCAATTTTCACACTTTGCAAAGTGACAGCGAAACAATAACAGGCTGCAAATGTGTCGGGGTACTTTTGTTTGTTAGAGACACAAGGAATCTCACAATTTCCACCGTCGAACAAAGGACAGGCAAATCAAATAAACGGCAATGTTTTTGATATCCTTGATGTTTCAATAAAATGCCTTGGAAACCAAGCCAAACCGAACTATATTAATTTCGTATGATGCACGATCCTCGCACTAGAGAGCGCCATTTATGCAATAGCGAAAATCAGACCTGAAAAAAAAAATCAGGCCTGTACGGCATCATACGTATCTAATACCGCAGTTCAAAATATATGAACTTCATATATACATTGTATCTATATTAATTTCATTTGTTTGAATTGACTTGCTTTCAATTTGTTGAATTGGTCAATTTGGAAATCTTCAAGTCTAATGTTATTGATATGTGTAAAAGAGGTCAAAGGGAAGATTTCATTTTGTTTTGAAACAACACGCATTTACACTGTTTTTAAGCGCAGTCTTAAGTTGGCTGAACACAATTTTTGATACCTTTGTTTCTTTTACTATTTTCTCTAAAACCCTTGATCTCTCGGTCGCCAAAACTGGCAGCAAGCAAGTTAACAACATAAACTTTGTTTTCTCGATAGTTTAAGGTGACGTATGTGCCGTTGCCATGGCGACATGAATAGATATAAACAGGCAATTAAAATCGGTTTTGTTACTTTGTACAAAAACTAGTCATTAGATTTTCTTCATAATTTGCATTCAAGGAGATTGTAACGATACTCACAAGTTAACGCCATTTTGCTAATAATTTAACAGAGGTCTTTGATTATACCTTGTTGTAGATTACATACATACATACATACATACATGCATGTTTATTGACCACTTCCCCAAAGGGCTTTTCAGCGTCGAATACAAAAAACAATTATAATTATACAAAGCGTAATTATACAACTTACTAAATAACAATTAAAAATAATTAAAATATCCTTCCTTTCTCTTAAATTTGTCTAATAGTACCCCTCTAAGCTTATTCCTAAAACTATTAACATCAATGCATAACTTAAAATTATTATTTAAATTATTCCATATGTTTACTGCCCTAAAGTGGAAAGTTTAAGTAGATTTTCTAGAATTTCCTTTCTTTAAAATCAATTTTTTCGATACTCCAGTTACTTATTACCTAAAGTATTTTTGTGCCATATTTCGTGAAATTCTAATAAGTGGTTCTCAAGAAATAGGCATATTTCCAAGATAGCAATTTTGCATTGACTCGCATTTTTTTACTTACTACGCATGCGCTACATTTAACCGGTTTCTTTCGGTAACGACGAAAAAGCTGAGAATTGCTGGGTTCTTTGCACCGTTAACTTTTCTAACATCTTTATAATAAAAGATTAAAGCCCTCAATACACTGCGCCAACTATAGAGAAAAATAGCACAGATAGTGCGGGTACGTGTCGAGTAAATAAAATGACCGCTCTATTGACGGCATGTTTGTTTTTTACAATCCATTTGCGCGCGCTGAATTGCATCAGCAAAAGCGCGCGCGAAAACTGGGTTCAGCCAACTTAATCTTTATAGAAATTGGTTGCCTCTGACTGTTATTTCTGAAACAGACGTTTCGGCTAATACTTAATCCTTCATCAGTGATATGAAAAACGAAGATCGTTATCATACGCTATTTAAAGTTAAAAACGTGATGCGAAGCTTGCGCGCGTAACTATGTATTTGATGCTCGCGCGAGGTCTTTATAGGCTTCTGGAATTACGATGTGATCGTTCCCAGCATTCAGATCCAAAGTAGAGTGCCAGGCTTCAAGGAAAAGTCTCTCGTGGTAATTAGTTTCGAAACCAACGACCCTGACGTTTGTGAAATCCATGTTATGGTCGAAAAGGTGGACATGGCTTGCGACTTTGGAGTTTAAGTCAAAACCAGCAACTGCCTTTTTGTGCTCCGCAATTCTGGTGTTTAATGATCTTTCTGTTTGGCCATAGTAGTTAAAATTACACTGTGTGCAATTGATTTTGTACACCATGCCTGACTTCTGGCGCTCAGGTTCGTCCAGCTCCTTGGGGCGTGGAAAAAGGCTGTTGATTGTTTGTTGTGCTTTGTAGGCTACTTTGACCTTTTGTTGTTTCAATATGCGACTTATTTTCTCGGAAACACCCTGTACATACGGCAAAGCCATTGAAGTTGGTCTGGGGGGGTTGTTTAAATGACACTCTCACAGTTCCGTATAAAAGGCATTGGATAATCGTTATCTCGCAGAACGGCCTTTACTCGTATTTCTTCTCGTCTGCCTTTATTGGTAGATGGAATGTTGTTTGCTCTTTTCAGTAAGGTGTTGACAACGGATCTTTTATGGCACATAGGATGACAGGAAAAGAAATTGAGATAACGGTCGGTAGGTGTCGGTTTTCTGTAAATCTCTACGTTAGCGCTAACGCAAAATGTTTTGAGTCGCCTGTCTCAAAATGAACTCTTGGTCTAAGGAACAAGGATGGCTACGAAGAGTAAGGATTTCAGTGGATTTAAAAAAGGTTCCTGTCAGTGAACGTACTACTTGTATTCAAAGTTAAATGCGTCTTCCTACGTAGGAGTGTACTATATGCAGGCGGGTAGTTGCACAAATGCCTTGCTCGCTATCCAGCACCAGACATACAAGTATTTACATATTAGGGACAGTAGCGCAGTGCGAATTTTTACCATGGACTTCAGTGAGGCTTTCGATTTTGGGAACCATGCTATTTTGTCTGCCAAACTGAAACAGCTACCTCTAAATCCGTACATTATCAATTGGTATCATAGTTTCCTCTATGCAAGACAACAACGTGTTGCTAGTTATAATTTTTTAGGACAGTGGAAATCTGTCAATAGAGGAACCACACAAGGTAGTGTAAGCGGACCGTATCTTTTTTAATATATTTTTGAACGATTTGGAGATTTTTTTTAATGGTTGCCCTGTGCTTTTCAAATATGCCGATGATTCCACTGTTCTTTCGCCTATCACTAGGAATATTGACCCGTCTGCCGACTTAGTAGGACAGTTCTTAACATGGTGTAAAGACAATAGAATGGTCTGCAACCCTTGCAAATGTAAAGAGCTGGTTGTTAGAAAGAAAAATCATAATGTACTCTACTCTCCAATTAATAATATTCCCCAATGTAATAGCTTCGTTTTACTAGGAGTAACTTTACAGAGTGACGGAAAATTTGATGAGCATGTAAGAACTAAGCTTGTCAAAGCAAACAAGTGTTTACACGTCCTACGAACATTGAGAAAGGAACATTACTCTCAGGCAGAGATTGATCATCTTTTTATATCCATTGTTTTGGCTAATTTTAGCTATGCACTTTCAGTCTATGGGGCATCTGAGTCCGATCTTACGGTTGTACAAAATTTTTTAGACCGATGTCATAAACGCGGTTTTATCTCATTTCCAGTTTTTATCAAGAACCTTTTAAACAAACAAGACCGAAACATTTTGAAGAAACTAAAATCAACGGATTGCCACCCCCTGAAAGACATCATTCCTGTCCAAAAGACATATGTACACAATCTTAGGAAAAAAGGCTGCGCGCGCCCGAAAATTAATACACAGCGCTTTATGAACACCTTTGTAAATAGGTTGATATTTAAGCTCCATTTATTGTAATGACATACTTTTTAATTCATAATATGTATGTAGATTTCTGTAGTTTTTCCAAATTCATTGTAACATAAGATATGTAGTTTTATCTTATGATGGAATAAAGACTTTTTATTATGTAGCTTAAAAATACAAAACACAGACCAAGAGATTGNTGATTTCAGCCCAAATTGCACTCCACTCGAGTTCAATTACCATTATTTATTATATGGCTGTGTCTCACAAGGACTGGGAACTACCGAATTCACGAATTTGATTGGCTGAAATATTGAAAGCGGTCTAGATTTTCCCATCTAGACCGGTCTAGAAAAAAAAGGTACAAAGAATATAAAAAATTGGCATATAAGACACAGCCATATAATAAACATCTTTTTAACCGAGCTAGGTCGGTCTGTATGGGAGAATCTTGACCTCGGTCGCTGGTACAGACCGAACGCAGTGAGGTCTGTACTGGAGACCTCGGTCAAGATTCTCCCATACAGACCTCCCGCTCGGTTAATAAGAACTAATAATAATAAGAACTAATAATAAGAACTAAAGTAATAAGAACTAGTGAAACCTTCAAGTCTAATGGTGTTTATACGTGTAAAAGAAGTCGAGGGAAGATTTTATTTTGTTTTGAAACAACACGCATTTACACTGTTTTCAAGCTTAGTCTTAATCTTTATGTTAGCGCTAGCGCAAAAGGTTTTGAGTCGCCTGTCTCAAAATGAACGCTACTGGAAACTAAATTACAAGGATGGCTAGGCATAGTAAAGATTTGAGCGGATTTAAGAAAGGTTCAATTCAAAGTTAAATGGGTCTTAAGATGTACATATGTGCAAATTGTAATTTTTACACTTAAAAAAGTGACAACGATACAACAACAGCTCGGCTGCCAAATGGGTCGAGGTGCTTTTGTTTGTTGGAGACAGGCAATCTCACAACTTCCACCGTCGAGCAAAGGACAGGCAGATAAGATTAACGGCAATGTGTTTGATATCCTTCAAGCTTCATGAAAATGCCAAGGAAACTAAGCCAATCCGAACTATATATTTCATTTGTTTGAACCGACTTGCTTTCAATTTGTTGAATTAGTCAAGAGCCTAAATGCGGGATGTATGCAATTGACGCAGATTACGAATAGCTATCTCAAATGATTGATTGATGATGTATTGGGATAAACTTTCCTAAAGGTGCTTTCTTAGGAAACTTCAGCAGTGTTGACAGCTTTGGTTTTTTTGGTAAGCCGGACAAGAAGCAAGATTGAATACTCAGGCTGTCAACTGTCACGAAAGGAAATATTTTATCCAATGTCATACTTTCAGAGACCTTAGGCAACACATCAAAGGATTTGTCCAGGACCGACAAATTCTCTGTATCTGCTAAATTACCCACAATCGAAAGCTCGAATGGAAAATAAAATTTCGCGGAGGCACCAGGCGTCATGGAAAAATTCCACTACACAACGTTCAGGGGAATCACCAAGCCAGCAATCCGACGGCGCAGGGCGGTGTTAGCTGCATTTCTAGGCTACTTTACAAAGAGATCCGAGTTCTTAAAGTTTTTTTCAAAAAAAGTTATCCGTGATGCTGACTCACACCGAACATGCAAAGCGAAAGACCATTACAGTAATGGAAGCGCTTTGCGCTAAGGCCGTACCCTTTAGGGCTTGAACTCACTTTAAAGCTATCTTCCAATTCAAATTCTTGCAATTGGACTCTGGGGTGACAAGTACGGGTCCAAGACTGGCCGGACATTTCTCTCCAGGAGTATCCCATCCAGGCGAGGGTAGTGATATTCCTATTCGCTTCATGCTACATGGAAACTGGGGTAAGCTCCGGCTTGGTAGACCGAGAAGGTAGAGTACATCCTTACCTTAACCTGTATCAGTTAGGATGGCAATGTCGATGTAAGTTGTCCTATATTTTGCTTATTATGCTTCCTTGTTACATGCTTCAGTTTGAAAACTTGAGCAAAGGATCTATGATCGGTTTATTTTGGCTATCAGTTCCCTCACCTTCCCTTTCGTCAAAGTGGGTCCGGTCCGTCCATCGGGAATGAAAGGGAGAGAGAGTGAAAGTTCAGGAGAAGCCTGAATGTGTGCGTCACCCTGTTGATTCAGGAATAATAATAAGGCTACAGAAATACAATTAATTAGCTGCTTTTGAATTAAATGGAATGTGAACCTCATTAACTTTGACAAGTAAACTTCATTTGTACAAACCAGTGCATATTTTTTTTTCTCCTAAAATTTGGGTCGGTCGGGCGCTAAGAAACCAAACATTTTATGGGAATGGCCGCACGCATATCATAATTGTGCCTCTGTTCTGGTCACAATCAATGTGCCAAAGATTTCAAAAATTGTTCTTGTTCTACACTGAAACTATTTTTGAATGAGGACTGTGCCAACACGTCTTGTTTATGGATGCCACGCACAGGCAAGCAACGGTTCTAGAGATAAGATAGAAGAACAAGGAACGTTATTGTTTCAAAATACTCTCTGCCAAATACTAAAAACTCTGAAGTCTTCTTGAAAAGGTTTTCGTTCACCATTGTTTCAAAATTTTCAAATCAGTAATAAATATATTATTTTCATAAATTTTACAACACCTTCAGAAGGGTTGGTTATCAAAAAACGAGAAGCTAACCGTGTCCAAACTGCAAGCCGTAAAAATACGTGATTAACACGTTACAAAAAATCACCTTTTACATACTTTTAATCTTTTTTTAATAATTATGGTCTTCAATCAGGTGGGTCCACTGTTCTGAACTGTGTGAGTTTGCGCGTTATTGTTAACTCATTGCAACATGTAATGTTTTGTGGATTGTACTAAATACTCAGGCTCAAGCCCCTGATCGAAATGTTCTTACAAATACTGATATCCAATCCACAAAGGGAACTTTGATATACACTTTTGGTCATAAGATATGTGAATTTTACAAAGTGGCAAGGATTCCCCCAAAGGGGACGTTAAATGGCACGTAATAAATAAATAATAAATAAATGACTTTATTGAATCACACAATTACTGGGAAAACCAGTAGTTCTCATTGTGGTCCTCTAAAACTACAAAATTAAATAGCAAAAATACGAAGAAAAATACAATTAAAAATTAATTAAATATTTAAACTTATGACAAAATTATTTATTGTAGAGTTCCGATCTAAATATTTATTGTACAGTTCATTTCTAAATTTACAAAGGGAGGTGAGACCCCTTGTAGTACTGTCTTGGTTGTTCCATAATCTAGTGCCACTTGCAAGAAATGAACGCTTGCCAGTCATTGTGCTAAAAAAAGTAGTTGACGCCCGAGTTGTGTAATTATGTCTATTTTTAACGTAACGAATATAATGATTAAAATAATCAGGACATTTCCCATGGATGATGTTGTGCATAATACACAATTTTCTACCCTCCTCTTGTCCCCTCTGCTAACTATGCTTTGACCCTGTCTCCCCCTTTTCAATCTTTAGGGCACCTAGAGTATCTTTTTAGTAACTTTATGCATGGAGTTTAAATCAATTTTCATCCCCATGATGCACAAGGCGAGAACATGTGTGCTTGAGGGTAACAGGTTACAAAACTAAAATAAGAATTTTAAGTGGAGCTACTACTTCGAGTAACCTTGTTATTACCATTGTCACGTTCAATCTCAGTGTCCACCGAACCAGAAGAGATGACAATCGCCCTTTTTGGTAAATAAAAATATAAAGCCTGCTCTTGAACCGCTAAAAAACCTGACTTTCCACCCCACATCTTATAATGATCTTATATCATATAATGATCTTATATCATATAATGAATGCCCCTCACATTGTAATAAGTTAACTCTTCAACAGCCAGTGAGGAGTTCTAATGAAGCGAACGTCAGTAAAATCAACTAAGTGCAGCTCTGCCTTTAGGCCTGAATAAATCTTTGTATTAGTATTGTTCCACGTGGCTATCTTTTTCTAGCCTGCTTTCCACGAAATGTTGAAATATCTACATGTACTGCAGTTTTAAGAAAGTCATTTGGCTAGACTTACCTGTAAAGTGCAGACCCACGTCATTGTAACTTCTTAATTAAATCATTACTTTCATTTAGAAGAGTTATTTCTTCATAAACAGACTTTGCATTTGCCACATCTGGAGGAAAAAGCATATGTGAAGGTTCCACTGTATAAGCTACTTAAATTAACAATAGTAGTTTAGCAGTAATAAATAGCAAGCATGAAGGCATCAATAGTAATATTGAGTAACTAGAACTGTTCCTTAACCTCCCATTAAAAGTCCTTTTTTTCAAACTTCCAACTTCCGTGGCTTGGCAATGAGTGCCATCCGAAAAAAAATGTTTCACTTATATTATACAGCTGGGTCTAGTTGTTCAAAAAGCAGATAACACAAATTTCTGCTAAAAAAACTAAACTGGTGTCAAATTGTCCTAAATTACCAAAATGATTCTGTAAGTTAATATCTGCTTGTACAAATGGGAAAGGAGCATTTTGCAAGAAAAAAAATCCCCCCCCCCCCCAAAAAAAAAAAAAAAAAAAAAAAAAGAAACAGATGTCAGCTACTTTGAAGCTGTTTATGCAATGCAATGCAATGCTGGTCATATGATGCTTCACATTATTATCTGCATGACCCCTTTGGGACTCCTATGAACAAAAAGGCTAATAATAGTGGCAACCACATGATTTCCAATCATCTAAAATGGTGACTACCTGAAGATTTAAAAATTAATACTGCTTGTGTTCTTCTCGTTTTGTTTCATTTTGGTTTTTTCTACCCAATTCATAGTTCCGACCTGTCAATCAGCAATGCAGAATCAACCAATCAGAAGGAAGCGTGCGGCATGCTGCCATCTTGTCCCACAACTTTTTTGAAAACATGGAGGCGCGAACGGCGGAGTGTCCAGCCCTTCAGACAATTTGACGAGAATTCCAGACCAGATTTCGGTTTCCTTTCTTCCAGATCATTCTGATCTTTCACAGAAGGTTTTGGAAAAGGGTTTGAACTATTTTATTCAAGGATTTGTTCATGATATTAAGATTTGCCACGCTCCAAACACTGGAGCTAGTACACCTTCTGGTACAAGAGTTGATGGGAAATGCTGGCGATCAATGAAAAAACACGAAGATCCGCACAAACTGCATCTAGAAATCAACGACAACAAGATATCAGAAGCCGTGTGTACTTGCAAAGTTGGGTAGGTTAAGGTTTTTTCGTTTTTTAATTTTAATTTTGATAATAAGGCACAACATTATTTTCAAACAACGAACATATGAAATACATATATATGAACTGCGGTTATGAAGCGTATATGTGCACGATCCTTCGCAGTAAAGCACTATTTAAGCAATAGTGAAAATCAGACCTGAAAAAAATTCAGGCCTGTACGGGATTCGAACCACTGACCTCTGCGATACTAGTGCAGCGCTCTACCAATTGAGCTAACAAGCCAACTGGGAGCAGGCCATCAAATTAATTCGACATAAACCCGTAGATGATAAATCAAACAACAAACATATGAAATACATATATATGAACTGCGGTTATGAAACGTATATGTGCACGATCCTTCGCAGTAAAGCACTATTTAAGCAATAGTGAAAATCAGACCTGAAAAAAATTCAGGCCTGTACGGGATTCGAACCACTGACCTCTGCGATACTAGTGCAGCGCTCTACCAATTGAGCTAACAAGCCAACTGGGAGCAGGCCATCAAATTAATTCGACATAAACCCGTAGATGATAAATCAAACAACAAACATATGAAATACATAGATCCTTCGCATTAAAGCACTATTATATATGTATTTCATATGTTTGTTGTTTGATTTATCATTTACGGGTTTATGTCGAATTAATTCAATGGCCTCCTCCCAGTTGGCTTGTTAGCTCAATTGGTAGAGCGATGCACTA